TTAGCGAGCAACTAGATGATTATTTAGCGAGCAACTTGATGATTATTTAAAGAGGAACTTAATGATTATTTAGTGAGCGACTTGACGATTATTTAGTGAGTGACTTTATGATTATTTAGCGAGCAACTTGATGATTATTTAGCGAGCAACTTGATGATTATTTAAAGAGGAACTTGATGATTATTTAGCGAGCAACTTGATAATCAATTCTTTTTAATCAATCAATAAATTCTTCAATCAATTCTTTTTTTTGTTGGAATGGTGAGTGTGGGAGACCTTTAAAAAAAAAACAAAATAAAAATAAATAAATGAAAAAAAAAAAATTTGATGATTATTTAGCGAGCGACTTAATGATTATTTAGTGAACGACTTGATGATTATTTGTTGAGTGACTTGATGATTATTTAGAGAGCGACTTGATGATTATTTGGTGAGTGACTTGATGATTATTTAGTGAGTGACTTAATGATTATTCAAAGAGCGGCTTCATTAATGCACGGCGTCAGCGTCGAAGTGAAAGGCTGAGTTCACCTCAGCCGATCAAGTGACAATTCGCAATGTTTGCTTATTATCACATCGACAAAAAATATCTGAGGTTCGAAAAAACTTTGTCCGTTCCGTTGTATTTTATTTTTGTCCTGATGGCGTAAGAAATGTAATCGCTCTAGCGTTGATGCAAGAATGTTTGCTTTTAAATTACATATTTTTTTCGGATTTATTTTAAAATAGTATTGTTTCAAATTTAAGACCGATAATAAGATGTGTAATTTATCAAGCAAAGTTTAAAATTCAAGAGATAAAAGCTTTCACTTTCACAAAAGCCGTCCACTCAGACAAGGAACATCAGAAGGGCGATGTCTGAGGATTAAAAAAAAATTAAATGAATTTCTTCTCCGTAGAAATATAAATATGTCTTCAGGGAAAAAATAAATGCATTTTTCGTTGTTGCTTGACCTACAAATTTTTTGATGCGACATCAAGGACATAAAATGAGGAATATTTTCCGTGCTTATTTATAAAAGTTTTTTATATGAAAGAATGCGAATAATTAATACTAATAATAATTCACCTAATATTAGTACGGTCACAGTTTACAATTATCATTAATCTCAAAGGTGGAAAAGTGACGCCATGTTGGAAAATAAAGGCGGGATGCTCATTCATGAGCCGTTTATGAACTAGCTTTTATAAATTTACAAAATTTACAATTACATTGCCCAGAAAATTCATTTAAACGCGGCCCATCAATTGAATACAAATGTCGATATGAAATTTGTTAAAAAAATAAAAGGTAATGGGATATGAGTTTTCATTTTGTGCACCAGTACTTATAAATGTGCACTGAAAATCTTCTTTTAAATTTAATATATAAATAGATTATTTGTCTCTGAATCACCGGTATATTAATGTCTTTTAATCGTCAACACATAAACCTAATCAGAGTCAGTGAAACATTGATTGTTATTAGCGCTAAATTTTGTACGAGACGCTGTATAATAATAACAGACTTGACTATAAATTAAATCTAACTCAGCGAGGTACACCAATTAAAATATTAACAGAATTCGCCGAACACAATCCCGGAAAGCAGGAACTATAGATCATAGATCAGAATTATATTCATGATCTAGAGAGCAAAATATATAGAGCTCGCTCTAACACAAAGGTAAAGCCACGTGGAATAGAGCTCGCTCTAACACAAAGGTAAAGCCACGTGGAATAGAGCTCGCTCTAACACACGTTCACTTACGCTCCCTTGGTTACTGGAACAGCGGCGGCAGCTGTACAGCTGCTCCAGGTGTACATGACGAACAACTGTACTGTACAGTCATGAGAGAAACATCTGCCAGCTTCTGGTATCGAGGAATAACTCACATCAATTTAAGTATCGAAACAAGACTCAAGATCAAATAATGACTTCAAGAGAAGCTTCTGTGGAAAGAAAGCGTCTTTTGGGATAGTTATTTTTTAAAAATAATTTGTACGTCGTGGGTCTTTAAACTTTGACTATTGTTCCGAAGATCCGTGACTGTACAGGGGCTAGAACACGTGTCGGTCATGACGCAGTTGGGTGCGCAGTGCGACGTGTACTTATACGATGCTCAAAATTAAGAGAAAAACTAGTTATCTGTTATATTTACTAGTGAAATAACATTGTAAAATACTTTTCTATAAATCCCGTGAAAAGTTTTATAATTTTTCCATTATAATAACAGGTTTTGATTCAACCCAAAGCTGGGCCACGTGTATTAAGTGACGTGATTCATTCTGACCTGTGACGTCACAAGCGCGAGAAGTTTCTATACTTGGTTTAATTTAACAATCAAATAATATTATATTATGGTCAGTACATTTTCAAATCTAACTATACGAAATTAGTATTATATATGAATACCAACTTCATTTTAATCTAAAATTGAGCACTTGAATAGGTTACGAGCTAAATTCAGATCGCAGTTGAGAATTTGAAGCTGAACTGTGTGTATTCATTATAGCAGTAATAACATTTAAATGTTAAATTTTCTCTGCAGTTTATTTTAAAATTTCTATTTTATTGATGCACTACTTTTAGTTGAGTTAAGCTATGACGCAACGGAATAGCTGCCAAATTTCGAGCAGTTATTTATAGAAATTTTGCATGAACTACTTAAAATGAATTTTAAAAAATATTATTTTTCTAACCTGACATTAATTATTTTTTATCAGGTATTGATGACTTAATCGGTCGCGCGATGAATAATTAAAATAAATAGAATACAATAATTTGAAATTGAATACTTTTTGGCTAAGTAAAATTTTCAAAATAGTCAAAAACACTTAATAAATTATCAAATTGATCAGTCAGGGGTTAAGTGATATCACTGCTCATCAATAAGTGATAATTATTCATATTCACATTTTTAATTTTAATTTACTTTATTGACGTTATATGGCGGAGAACCGAACAACTCGTTGACTGATGCAAAATCAATATGCTTCACTTTATGAATAGAATATATATATTTATAAACATTATATATATATATATATATTTTCAAATATATAGGAGTATGAATATCTAGAGTTGAGGTAAGTCCGAACATTATATGAATAGCACGAGCACGATTACCTAGTTCTTTACTGCCTATATAACTACCTAGATTTCAACGATATTTATGGTGATATGCGAATTATGCATCTAGAAATCATATCCTAAACTCCAAACTTTGATCACAATTCACTGTGTGTGTGTGTGTGAATTTACAATGAATGTGTGTGTGAATTCACACGATTCACAATTCACATTCATTCATTCACAATTGAAGGGCCTCTTCTCTTCCAAGCCGTTCTGGTGCCGGCCGTAACACGGCAAATGTGACCGTAACACGGCAGTTGTGACCGTAACACGGCAGTTGTGCCCGTAACACGGCAGTTGCGATCGTAATACGGCAGTTGTGACCGTAACACGGCAGTTGTGACCGTAACACGGCAGTTGTGACCGTAACACGGCAGTTGTGACCGTAACACGGCAGTTGTGCCCGTAACACGGCAGTTGTGGCCGTAACACGNCGTAACACGGCAGTTGCGACCGTAACACGGCAGTTGCGACCGTAACACGGCAGTTGTGACTTGTGACCGTAACAAGACAGAAGTGACCGTTATATGTCAGTGATAACCGGCCTTATTATGTCAGTGGTGACAGTGTTACGGCAGTTTCGGCCGTATTATGATTGTGGTGACCGTTTAACTATAGGAAGCAAAATAGGGTTCCTACATGAAGACTGTAGGACAACATCATGTATTCATGTTGTCCTTAGTTGTTGTTGACCCGAGTCTTCAGCTACCGACATTCACTCGAGTATTAAAGGGGTTACTGCTCGAAACTCCAAAAAAAAAAAAAAACGACGAAATGTGGAGAATAGAAAATCAGAGTTTAGTACAGACCATTTTATTTTAAGTATTGTAACTTTTTTCACTCTAATGATTAGTATAATTTTAAAAGATTATACTTATATTTGTTTTGACTCTACACACGTGTAATTTCTCGGTTTTTGTATTCATAAAAAACTTAGACATTTACGTTACTGTCACTGCGATCAAATTATTCACAATACTTATGAAAATATATAAAAAATTAACTGTTGATTCGCATTTCAGACTTTATTCATCGAGAAAAATCCCAGTACCTTACAATAAAAGAAAATAAATAAGTTTTATTTGCACTTCAACATTTCAAAGTAAGTATTAGTGTTCGATACATTTTTGATGAAACATCATTACTAAAGTTAAATTAGTTTAATGTTTTGGTGCTCATCGCAAGGTCGTTTTCATCGTATCGCATTCCAGTAAAACTATTCGTCACTTAATCGTTGGCCGTACAAGGCCGACATTCGCCTTATGATTCATAGCAGTCATCGTTGATCATCAGCGTTAACGATGAATCATTCTGCTGGCCTGAATCATTTATCATTTATAGATGGTAAAGTTAACAGAATGATCAGTCGAAACACACGTTAGCTTACCAAATAAAAAAAATCTGCATCTTACTGCAAACTAAACCTATTAGCTCGGGGTGGTCGAGTGGTCAATTTCACTAAGATTGAAGCTAAGAGGTGGGGGTTCGAAACCCGAAACTGGTTATGAAAATTCTGATCTAAATCTGATGGTCGGGTGGTTGAAATTGAATACCTGCCATTATGACCTGATAAAAGCTGACATAATTATATTATTATCAATATTATTTTATTATTTGAGTTATATAACTGGAGCAACCACTACGATGTCTTCGAGCACCTGACATGAGTTAGGTTCAGTCTTATCCAGGTTCAGTCTTATGGTCCCCTAGTGTATGACTGACTCTGTGGCCTGGAGAGGAGATGAAAAATAACTCCATGGGGAGTCTAATTGGGGAGTGCGATCTAATTCCCCCCAGAGGCTGATTCCCCCAAAGAGACTTATCCCTTACCAAACCCTGAATCTGTCTCTTATACACATCTAGATGTGTATAAGAGACAGGAATAAGACTCAGTGGGGAATAAGACTCAGTGGGGAATAAGACTCAGTGGGGAAAAAGACTCTGTGGGGAATAAGACTCCGTGGGAAAAAGTCTCTGTGGGAAATAAGGCTCAGGGGGAATTAGGCTCTGAGGGGAGCTGCGCGAGCGTCATTGGGGAGCGGGGCGGGGACTGGAGGCCGGACGATGATGTCGGTTTGCTCTTCCTTGATCGACGCCTGGATAACATACAAGCCAATTATTATCAAATAATTAATTTAAATTATCATCAACAAATAGGGATATAAATAATGACTCAATATTTTTTATAAAGTGCTCAATATTTTTTTACACGTTTGAAGTGTTAAAAAACATCCCTACGTTTTCCTGCCGCAGTTTAGTGCTCAGAAAATGCGGTAACAGCAAAAAAGCTAAGCAAGGAAGGCCTTCAACAAACAGACACGGAAATATAATATAAATACAGGAATCGTAGTAAACAAAAATGACTTCAATTAAAATATTGATTCCCGGATGAACAAAAACCCCTCACACCCCTCACCTGGTACCCATTAACAGCATCCGCCGTATAAGTGACGGTAATACGGACGCCGTTGGGTGCCACGTAGGAGTACTGGCCGCGGACGACCCCCTGTTCGTCCTGGCTCTCCTGCCGGGACTGGTAGTTGGTGAACTCGTCGTCGTTCACCTCCAGGCCGAAGCTGTAGGGGTCGGGGGTGTCCTGGGGGGCGATCTTATATTGGAATAATGTGATTATTTATAGCAATTACCTATTTTAATTAATTAATCAATAATTAATCACAATAATTTCAATTTAATAATAATGAATAATTATTTAATTTCTAATCAATTAATAATTTATTATTTATTTACAGGCCGAAGCTGTAGGGGTCGGGGGTGTCCTGGGGGCGATATTACATTATAATAATGTGATTATTTGTTGTAATTATATACTGAAATTTATTATTGTAATTATTTATTGAAATTTATTATTGTAATTATTTATTGTAATTTATTATTGTAATTATTTATTGTAATTTATTATTGTAATTATTTATTGTAATTTATTATTGTAATTATTTATTGNCTCACTCGTCAATTTTGTATATCTTGTCAGAAATGAAGACATGGCAACTCACTCGTCAATTTTGTATATCTTGTCAGAAATGAAGACATGGCAACTCACTTGTCAATTTTGTCAGAAATGAAGACATGGCAACTCCTGTCTCTTATACACATCTAGATGTGTATAAGAGACAGGTCTATGATTGGTGGATTTTGCTTGAAAGGCCGTCAATGATTGGCTGATGAACTTACGATCTCTTAACTTTTTTTTTGAAAGTACGGGCCCAGGACTTTAGTGCATCACTAACAATCAATGGCATCCTATATCACACAAGGATGAACGTCTCACTAAATTAAATTCACTTCAGTGTATAACTTACAATCAATAGCATCCCGGCAGACATCTGACGTTGAGTTTAACTTTATTCTGTACAATAAACGTTAAATAAAACGTTGTTATGTGCTACGCGTTGAGACAAAAATATCAATAATGGATGAACGTCTCACTAAATTAAATTCACTTCAGTGTATCTCTTACAATCAATGGCATCCTACCAGACACCTGACGTTAAGTTTAACGGTGATCTGTTTCATAAAAGTTAAATAAAATGTTGTTATGTACAATAAACGTTGAATTAAACGTTTTTATGTACAATAAACGTTGGATTAAGCGTTGTAATGTATAATTAACGTCGAAATAAACGTTGTTATGTATAATAAACGTTAAAATGAACGTTGTTATGTATAAGAGACGTTGAAATAAAGGTTTTTATATATAATAAACGTTGTTTTATATGATGAACGTTGAGTAAAGGTTGTTTCCTCGTCATTTAACTGCTGGGATCATGGCAAGGGTGAGCTGGCCAAAACCTATGTCATCAAACGCCGGACGTAAGCAAGTCTGTGAGCCGAAGCAATAATAAATTGATTATAGTGACAGCCGTATTAATATATCAGATAAATACAGGGTGAACCAAAAAAAGTTGGTAAAAGTAAAGGCTTATATCTCGAAATGTATTAAACGTAGAAAGATAAAATAAAAACCACATGAAAGAGTATAACTTCAAGTTTTATCTGGTATCCATGTTACCAAAGTTCTCTATATATTTCATAGCTAAAACTCATTATTATTATTGTAAATTTATTATTATTATACATTGTAATTATTGTAAATTATGTATTACTCATTGTAAACATTTTTCGACGAGAAGAATATTTTGTGTTCGGTGTCATTTTTGATCACCATGAAAATAAATTCGTAGTTTAACTGTACGGATAAAGTTGAGAAGGGGGAGTGAGTGTGAAAATGTGTATATCATGTGTGTATATTTTGTATTAATACATCACATGGCATTCATTTCAAGCAATCACAAGTGAAATAGATTCCGTATAGAAAATACGTATGATATTTGTAACAAAAATTAAGCGGCCCGCGAGTATGAAATTGTATAAATCATTTATCACAAGTTAGGCTCTGAATTTTATGTCCAATTCAGACAATATAATTATTCTCGTAGATTTATTTTGTATTCGGTCTGCATATAGGATTGCAATCCACTTTCTTTTACAGCCTATAATAAAAATTCAATTCTTTTTCAAGTTTACCGTATTATTTAGAAACTGGAGTGATGGTATCTACATCAATAGCAAGGTCATAATACCATATATTTAGTAAGTAATGAGTCGTAAAGTTAGCCATTGTCTTAAGTCTTAAAGATAATAAGTCACAAAGTCATTAGTCAAATGTCATAAATTTAACAGTCATATATACAGTAAGTTTATTGCGGCTCAAATTCTCGGACAGATAATTTTAATAATTCTTAGTGAGTCTCAAAAAGAGACGAATGAGTGGTCTGTATAGGACATGACTTTGTTGTATAAAACCTGATCAGGGTTTTCGATTAGGTAAAAATGTCATGACCTCAGGGTCAGGATCTCGAGCCCACCTTTTACTTCGCCATGAGATGCACAATTCTGTCAGGAATAGCACTACAAATATGGGACGGCCTTCGGATAGGAATACTAATGCTGGACTAATAGCCTAAGTTTGGTAGTGTGTGTACTATCAAAAATAGTTACGATTTCTGAAATCCGTCAGCCAGTAACTAACGGCTTTTCTAGCTAATCCACTAATTACCGTTCCGGCGGCCGTTACAGGTTACTTAGGCCGTCGTGTGTACTTAGGCCGCCTTGCGTACTTAGGCTGATATAGAATAGATTATATAGAAGTGTCGGCACTAAAGAAATAGGCCCATGTGCCTGTAGTGCAGCCGCCTCGGATATAGGGCCGCTCTGCGTACCTGGGCCGCTATGAGTATTTTAGCCGCTACGTGTACTTAGGAAGCAACGTGTACCTGCACAACTACGTGATGGATATATGGCTTATGGAAGACAGCAGAAACTTGCCACGATGAACTGTCGGCCAGCGAAAGCACTTTCGGGTTTTGTACGTTGACTTCAGCGCAAAAACTTCACTAAGTTTATACCCAAACTTTACCGTCACCAAGTTGAAACTAACTTAGTTGATACCAACGCATTGATGTCACTAAGTTGATATCGACGTATCGACGTTGCTAAGTTGATACACTCTTATCAACGTGTGCATTTGGCAGCCATTTTTAATCTGAAATATTCGTGAAATCTCCCGTAGTTACCACCAAAAATCTATACAAATTTTGATTCCAGTTTGTGGCATGAATCGGATGCACCGAATTCGTTAAGATTCTCATGTAAATTTCAATAATAATGAATAATTTGTAATAATTTGAATTTTTTTCTAAAATCAGAATGAAAAACTGAAATTAAATGTTAGCTTCCACATATTTTAATCAAATATGTTAGCAGGAGCACTGCACAAATTTGTAATTTGTGCCGTAATGGTTAGAACACATATTTGCTTCTGAACATTTTGGATAAATTTGAGTTAACATAAAACAATAATTTACAGCCGCACATTGTCTTCATAATCCAAAATATGCATTAAAATATCGGATGTAAACGGCATCATCCAAATTTAAAATAATTTCCAAGTATGGATTACTGTCTCACCTTCATGATTGCTGAACTCGACTGGTGACCTCACTCGACGAACTCTGATGTTGAAATGAGAGGTAGGGCGTGGTGGTGCCTTATATACCCTCTCATCACGCCGACCTCGGCGCTGTGATTGGTTGAAGGGCTGCGGGTCACATCTCATAGGTTATGTCGCAAACAAAAGCCGCCCTTTACTTAATACTGATGAAAGCTTGGGCGGCGGTTCACGTCCACATGCCTGGTTTGGTCCGGTGTGACATGATTTACTTCAGCGCACGCAAGAAGGGAAGACTCGGGTGGCAACAAACGACCAAAATGACAAAAATTGATTAGTAACAATATGAAAGCTTCAATTTTTATGACAAGCATTTTTCCCATTGTTTTGTGAAGGAAATTATTCATGTGATACAATCAGGCGGATGGGAGCTCAAGGAGCTGAACAGTGAAGGAAAATAGCGCGAAAATAGATTACATTTTCGTTTGGTATATTTTTCTTATACACTATTGTATCATAATCAGGGTCGGTCATTACTGAAGTGTAAAAATATAAAAATACAGCAAAAATGTAACTATTCGGTTGAGTTTGCCACATCGTATGCGTCGTGAGTGTTGTTATGCCGCACTAACAAATGTCGCGATATCCAATGTATAAGATCATGCCATTCAACACAAAGTATCAAGCCATTCAACACAAAGTGTCATACCATTTAACACAAAATTCCATGTCATTCAACAGATCCATGCCATTCTACAAAAGTTCCATGCCATTCAACGCAAAGATCCTTTCCATTCAACACTTATAACAATGCCATTCATCACAAAGTATCAAGCCATTCAACACAAAGTATCATGCCATTCATCACAAAGTATCATGCCATTTAACACAAAATTTCATGTCATTCAACACAAAGTATCATGCCATTCAACGCAGAGTATCATGCCATTCAACACAAAGTATCATGCCATTCAACACAAAGTATCATGCCTATCATCACAAAATATCATGCCATTCAACACAAAGTATCATGCCATTCAACACAAAGTATCATGTCATTCAACACAAAGTATCCTGCCATTCAACACAAAATATCATGCCATTCAACACAAAGTATCCTGCCATTCAACATTAAGCTTCATGCCACTCACGGCACTTATCCTTGCGTGCTTTATTAGGCGGTCGCTGCAATATATTGCGGAACGCCTGGAGAAAGGCACCATGTCTAGCTTTATATATTATATTATGGTCGTATTATGAGTGGCCAGCGATAAATCGCCGGTAATTTTATGAACAGCTAGACTACACTTGCGGGCGGTAGGCGACCTCCTGCCCCTCGACGGCACTTGAATGACAGTCTTGCCTAAATAATTTTGTTGCCCCTATTTTTCCTCGGTATTTTTATCCATATTCTGTCCCGCTATTTTTGTCCTTATTCTGTCCCGGTATTTTTGTCCTTATTCGTCTTCATCTACACTCAGAAAAATGTATAGGTGAAAGTTTTGTAATAGTGACATATTTTCGCCACGAATCATGTTAGAATTCTGGGAGTGCTATACCTGTTCAGACAGCTATTGCTAAATTCTACTTAACAGACTATTTTACTTCAAGATTTCAATACCCACACTAATACAATTTTTCAGAATATATATCAAAGTATAGTCCACGCTGTGCTTGAACCCTGATCTCACTAACAATTATAAACGCGAAGACTACAATGCACTACACTTCCGAAAACCCTTTTTCCATATTATTATTATTTACCATATTATTTATTCATATTCATACCATATACATATTACCATATTATTTTCCACAACATTTACTCAGACAATCACCCCTTCATGCTCCCTAAGATACACTGAGTACGCATTCTACCAAACTACCAAATACAATTTTATTTAATAGTACAATATTATATATATTGCATTAATAACATATATACTATAATCCATTTTTCCGACGTATGCCCGCACTATTTAGAAATTTACAGTTGAATTATTGAAAAATGCACCGTTGAATTATTGAGAAATTCACCGATGAATTATTAAAAAATTTACCGTTGAATTATTCAGAAATTTATCGTTGAATTATTCAGAAATTTACCGTTGAAATATTTAGAAATTTAACGTTGAATTATTCAGAAATTCACCGTTGAATTATTCAGAAATTTACCGTTGAATTATTCAGAAATTCACAGTTAATTTATTCAGTAGTTTACCGTTGAATTATTCAGAAAATCACCGTTGAATTATTCATAAATTTACCGCTGAATTAATCAGAAATTCACCGTTGAATTATTCTGAAATTCAAATTCACCGTTAAATTATTCAGAAATTTGCCGTTGAATTATTCAGAAATTCATCGTCGAATTATTCAGAAATCCACCATTGAATTATTAAGAAATTGACAGTTGAATTACAGAGAAGTTCGCCGTTGAATTATTCAGAAATTCACCGTTGAATGATTCAGAAATTCGCCGTTGAATTATTCAGAAATTCACCGTTGAATGATTCAGAATTTCACCGTTGAATGATTCAGAAATTCACCGTTGAATTATTCAGAAATTCACCATTGAATTATTCAAAAGTCCACCGTTGAATTATTCAGAAATTTGCCGTTGAATTAGTCAGAAATCCACAGTTGAATTATTCAGAAATTCACCATTGAATTATTCAGAAATTTGCCGTTTAATTATTCAGAAATTCACAGTTGAATGATTCAGAAATTTGCCGTTGAACGATTCAGAAATCCACAGTTGAATTATTCAGAAATTCACCATTGAATTATTCAGAAATTCGCCGTTTAATTATTCAGAAATTCACCGTTGAATGATTCAGAAATTTGCCGTTGAACGATTCAGAAAGTCACCGTTGAATTATTCAAAAATCCACCGTTGATTTATTCAGAAATTTACCGTTGAATTGGTGAGAAATCCACAGTTGAATTATTCAGAAATTCACCGTTGAATTATTCAGAAATTCGCCGTTTAATATTCAGAAATTCACCGTTGAATTATTCAGAAAACCATCGTTGAATTACTAAGAAATTCCGCGTTGAATTATTCAGAAACTCACCGTTGAATTATTCAGAAATCTACTATTGGATTACTCAGAAATTCACCGTTGAATTATTTATAAATCCACTATTGAATTATTCAGAAATTCACAGTTGAATTACTGTGACATTCACCGTTGAATTACTCAGAAATTCATCAATTTCCGATGTTTATCCTGTTTTATTCAATTGTCGAATTGTGTTCGATCATTAAACGTCAGAAGGACGCTCTTGGTCCAGCCATATTTTCCTACACGTCTCGGCAAGTCAGGCAACCGAGCTTGTGCAAGGTAAACTGGTTGAATGCATCAGGTCAACTGCAGACGAGTATAGTTCAGGGACCGAACTATCAGAACTTGCTTCTGTACACGTAGCGGCCTAAGTAAACGTAGCGACCTATAAGTAAACGTAGCGACCGAAGTAAACGTAGCGGCCTAAGTAATAGCGGCCTAAGTAAACGTAGCGACCTAAGTAAACGTAGCGGCCTAAGTAAACGTAGCGGCCTAAGTAAACGTAGCGGCCTAAGTAAACGTAGCGGCCTAAGTAAAAATAGCGGCCTAAATAAACGTAGCGGCCTAAGTAAAAATAGCGGCCTAAATAAACGTAGCGGCCTAAGTATATAAACGTAGCCGCCTAAGTAAACGTAGCGACCTAAGTAAACGTAGCGGCCTAAGTAAAAGTAGCCGCCTTAGTAAACGTAGCGACCTAAGTAAACGTAGCGAACTAAGTAAACGTAGTGAACAAAGTAAACGTAGCGACCTTAGTAAACGTAGCGGCCTAAGTAAAAGTAGCGACCTAAGTATATAAACGTAGCGGCCTAAGTAAACGTAGCGACCTAGGTAAACGTAGTGGCCTAAGTAAATGTAGCGACCCAAGTAAACGTAGCGGTCTAAGTAAACTTATAGCGACCTAAGTATATGAACGTTGCGGCCTAAGTAAACGTGGCGACCTAAGTAAACGTAGCGGTTCATTCTTTGTCTATGAATGGTGGGTTTAACTTTAAAAACCATCAGTTATTGGCTGACATAAGAACTCTTAACTTTTTTATAGTGCGGCCACAGGACATATAACTGACAAATCGGTAACACCAGCTCTCTGAATTGCACACACACAGGTGGTAAAGATTTGTCAGTTGCTTCTCTATATGTACAGAAAAGGCACCACATGATGTTTTTACTTGAAGAAATATTATCTAATGCTCTATGTGTCTAAGGATAACAATTAAGGATTTAATGCTCTATATCACAAACAATTAGATTCGAAATAATTTGGTGGTTATCAAACAGATTGTTTGTCTGTAATTGGAATCGATCAGTACATTGTCAACACATCGTCTCTGATTTGAAGTTGGTAGCTATCATGATTTTAAGGTTTCAAACAATATAACGTCCATTTTGCTTACAGTTTCCTAATGTTACTCAAGAATTTAAGCTCGCATTAGTTCGGTAAAATGTTTCTAGAATGGTTTTCGAGCTTAACTAGTTCAGAAGCTCTACATTTAATTTAGGGTCAACATTGTTCCAGGTAAATTCTTCGTTTATTTTTCGGATATTGTCAGAACGTGAAAAAATGAACAGGATATTCTCATCATATTTATATGCATGAAAATTTTTAGTCCAATTTGTATTTTTTTTATTTTAGTTTAGTGCAATATGTCTGAAAACTTTGAGTGGAGTAAAATTTTTAACTTTTGTTGCGAAAATTTACTCTCGAAGAAAAAATACATTTCTGGTAATCCTCGTGTAGGCTCTGGGAACAACAAACTGCGTTTGAGTCCAGCCTACGGAATTGCCTTCGTTGACTTTTTGATATTAAAGATAGTAAGAAAGTAACAAAATTTACTTGATTCTCACTCAACATAATTCGTGTGAAGGTTAAGGAAATTACGTTCTTTCACTGGTCCCAAAATTTTACTCATGAGTTGGTGGTTAAATTGCGTTTGTATTAAGATTACGCAAGCAGTTGAATTCATGATGGAGACATGCACAGCAAATTCAAGGCAGGTCGCGAAGGCTGCTTGCATCCACAAACTTATGCAGATTGCAAGAGGATTGCGTCGGCCATAGAGATTAAAAAGATTAATTGCAGAGGTTTCGGCCTACTGACATTCTAAAGCGCAATTTTACGATCGTGACAAATCGTAATGTTTTGATTCAAACGTGAATTAGCTATTCGAGGGATTCGTGTAAATGAATGTTTTTGGAAATTCAAAATGCAGAATCTCATTCGTGAAAAATATTGCCGAAAAATAAGCACCCCAATGTTATTTATTCTGAATTGCAAATTATTGAATTGAATTTCGCTACAACGATCAAAGCTAGCGTACGTTTTTAAGAGTAATAAAAGATAGCATCCATATTCGTTTTTTTCGATGTTATAACCTCAATGGTTCAACCAATGTATGGAAAATCGACCGGGAAACTCATCTGTACGGGACAAGTATCATTTGCATGACAAGTATCAATTGCATGGAACATGTATCATTTGCATGGGACAAGTATCATTTGCATGGGACAAGTATCATTTGCATGACAAGTATCACTTGCATGGGACAAGTATCATTTGCATGGGACAAGTATCATTTGCAGGGGACAAGTATCATTTGCAAGGGACATGTATCACTTGCATGAGACGAAGTATTTTTGCCGGTTTATAGCACCTCCGAGTATCAGTTGCGTGTGCCCATTTGTGCACAATGAATTTTCGAAAAGCCGATCCACTACTCACACCGCACCTGATGAGTGCGGTGAATGAGTGATCACTGTGCCTAATTCACTGAATGAGTGATCGAATGTGCCTAATTCGCAACTTTATCCGCAGTCTGACTATAACGAATGCTGCTTGGAGCCTATCCAAGTCAAACAGGTTCTGATCGATCGAATAATATTGATGTGGTTCGATCAAGAATCTTAATGTGGAGTCTCGCTCGGTCGGTATGGGAAAAATTCCATTTGGAGTGGGCAATATCGAGGGGCGCAGCACCGATTTAAACAAAGTTTTTCTATGCTGCTTCAGTGGAGATCTTCGAAGCTTCTGAACCCGATAATTTATTGTCGAATAATCTGCACCGAACGATGCCGAATATACAGTAGTCGATGCCCATTGTGTAGTACTCATGCCGAATTGTCATTGATAGATTCGTAATCTCTTTCAATTAATGCTGAATCTTCAGTTATCTACGTAGAATCTGGTATGATCGATGATAAATTTTCCTACATCTATGAGGAATCCTAGAAAATTAATCTTTTACTCGCACATTGATACGAGTCAAGAAAGACTTGAAACGTTTACATAATAATTCCATGATAAAAATAATACATGTTGAACACTTTGCTTCAACCACACTAAAATAATAACATGTATCAATTTTTATTCAATTAGAGTGATACTTTATGCGATTTCATCCGAGGCACCCGTAGCACAAAACAACCGTGTTAATAAAATGACGGGGGATTTTCTACTACTTTATTGTTTGCAGGTTAGTCGACAATTGAACAAGTAATAAACCGTAAGGAGAATGCATTCCAATTTCTACCGAGGTTCAATTTAGTCTCAATTTATTGAAAAAATGAGCTACCTCAGTATGGCACGACATTAAATTAAGATCATATACTAAACCTTAAACAAGGAGAGACACTAAATTTACTGGCCACAAGCAGATCCCACTAATTTTGCTATCATGATAATAAAGTCACTGCCAAACAGGTAATTATAATCTCCCTTAAAAAACCTTACATATTTCCTAACTCTCACTGGAATCATTTAACACATTTCCATCACCAATTGAAGAACACTTGTTCTGGTACCGTTCACTAGCAGAGGGACTAGGCAATTCAACTTTGGCTAAAGTTTCGGCTGCATCGTCAGCGCCCTCAATATCGGAAATGAAAACGCCGTAAGGTGAGGAATCAGGACTACGTGGAGCGTCGGTTGATCCAGCAAGGGATGTACAAGAAATTACACCCGCAGTAGATACGGTAGCACTTAGAGGTGATGAACCGACACCCGAAAGGTTGGCAGCAGCATCAAGCCGCAGCTTCCTTCCTCCGTCCCAATCACGTGCACCTCGGAGTGCGGCTTGGATGTGGCTTATGAGCACCTGCCTCGTATCATTCATCTGCAACGCCGCGGCATCACCTGAAAGTTGGTGAGGGCAAATTATTTTATTGGTCATCTCAACGGGAATCGTAATAAAGATAAAAAAATAATTAAGGATTAAAATCTTACTGATTTCGCTGTTAATTCTGAGTGGTCTAACTATTAAAACAAAAAATAACCTGATGGAATCATGTTGAATCTATCAGCATTTAATCGGTTTATTGCGCGTCCAATTGCGTTCAGGAACAATCTAGACAAAGTGATGCAGAAGTACATGTTCAAACATGAAATGCTTAGCACCTTCCTGACCTAGCAAAAGTCCAGTAGCTATTGCAAACCAAAGCCAGTTTTCAGATCTCCTGTGAACAAGTCACGAGAAGTACAAGAATCCGCGACAGGCCACGGGCCTTTATATTGAACGCCGAAACAACTATACTATACCTTGAGCTCCACAACATTATGGGCTTAAACAGAGCATAATCCATACATCCAAAATAAGCGTGGAATCTTCAACTCCTATAGGTACCCACCTAGAATTCGCGTGCATAGTAGGTGATTCCCAAATGCTGGTTTGGTTACAGTTCTTTTCTCTCCAAAACCAGTGAAGCTGAAATGAAGTGCCAAATCTCGTGTCATGCAGCGCTTTAGCAGTCTCCTCACAGTCATCTTAGAGTTCGATCCGATGTAGGGTTTTAACTTTTGAATCTGTAAGGAAAAAAGTTTTAGAACTTCCAGCTCATGAAACACAATCTGGCTTACTGTTGATGGTCATTTCCAAGCACGAAAAAATATATGCATTTATAAATAAAGTACGCAAGTGCATTTCCAACTCAGCAAATGCAAATACATATACATAAAAATACAGTAAACGCACTCATAACAAATTTTGAAATAATTGCATCCAAATTTACCATGTCGGCAGTATGTTTGATTGCATATCTAGGTATGTCAGCACCATGTCAGCTCAGGTCACAAAAGCCTATTCTATTAGATAATGTTCAACATGTTGGCTCGACACTAAGATTATGTTGGCTCGTATTGTACCCACCAGGTTTGGATCCTTGGCCATATTATCTAATTCAGTCATGGTATTGGCTGGCGCCTGCAGGGCTTCAGAGGCACCCAGATACTTGCTTTCCGTCATGGAAATCAGCTTACTGAGGAGCTTATCGAGCCTATCGAGCCTGTCGATGTGGTTTTCCATGGCCTTGTATGTTCTCAGTAGGTCTTCTAGCTTGGAATTAATGCGTTCCTTCCATTCCTCTGGGAGAGCCCCACACCTGTTGGCAGGCAGGTTTGAGAAGAATCATAGAATATCAACGAAAATCTCAAACAAGTTTAAATTCTCTGAGACAATTTAACAATTGAATTATTTTCATAAAGCAGTATTAAGAAATGTAATAAAACGGATATAAATCTATTTTTGACTAACGCTTTACGAAGAGTCTTTAAATTATCCCTTACAAACATGAAGCTTCCAAAAAATGACCTACTTGAATTGAATGTAAACACACTCTCAATTGGTCATGGACATTATTAGCAATATCATGATGATAGTTTCCAAGTTTCTTCAAATTAGAAATTAACTTACTGCTGAGCAGGGCTTGTAGGGGTGAAAGTCAAGACAGGAACAGGTGGGACCTCCATTTGATCCTCATGTCAGTCAGTGGTCAAGAACTGCATTGCTACAGAGAAAAGTAGGAAATTGTCATATATATCCGAAGTAACAATTTCCTTTGAGGCCAAAATGACTTGCCCCAAGTATAACAGGAAGAGCCGGTACCCTGATCCCTTCCAGTTAGCTAGGTCGAGGTCACACTCGCGGTTGAAGTCGGATGGCACATGGCTTTTCATTTCAGTGCACATCTCGTCAAATTTAGTATTGGAAAAGCTTCCAAGATATGCTTTTACGAATTTTTTTATTGGAGCAACGCTTCATCCCAGTAAGCGGGATGAAGATAATTAAGTGATTTATTACATCCTGATAATAAAGTAGCTCAAGTGCATAACATCCAGCACAAAACCAGAAACCACAATTGATAGCCTGTAGTAATGGGATCTTTCCTCTGTGATGCCTAGGATCTAACCGTTTATAGAAACTCTCATCACACCTGACAGGGCAAGAGTTTTCAAACCTAACGAAATGACCTTATCTGTAAACACCAATTTTGACACAACGCTCATTGCTGTGAAAAGCAGTGCGTGGGACAATTGATTTCAGTTCTCCGCAAACAAATGAATGGACCAAGAGAAACAAAAAAGGACCATGACTGCTGTCAAGAGAATTTAAGAGTTGCATGTCCAATTGAAAAGCTTTAAAAAATTCTTCACAAGATATCATTCCCTTGTGATGGCATCTATTTGAGCAATAAATGCCCACAGTTATGACATGATCAGGAAATTTCAGAGGATACTAGGATAGAATAGCATGTATATTTATTTGTGTTTTTGAAAAGAAGAATACCATCTTTGATAACAGAAAGGCTGACATGTTGCACATAGCTTTCACAATACTTTCATTCAAGAATTGATATCACTTGTTTGCTTAAATCGCAAATTAACTAAAAATTTAAAAGCGAAGAATAGTCCACAAAAATTCATATCTTTATAGAAAACGTTTTGGAGTCCAGCTCCATCGTAAGTTCGTAGAATCTAGAATCACAAATTAATACATTGAAATCACAGAACGAAATTAAAAACCTAAATTTACAAATAACAGACGGAGCACTACTAAAAACTTTAATAGATTAGTTTTGCTTGAACTACTCAAATGTTCACATAAATGACTAGAAGTTAGTATCAGAAGACAGAATAAGCTTGTTTCACCACGGGTGGTTAATGGCCAGAGAATTAAATCATTCATATTCACAGGGATCAACATTAGGAATAGTTTTGCTTGAACTACTTAAATGTTCACATAAATGACTAGATATACTTGTGCTCACATCTTCAGGCTGCGCTAAACTTGTGGAACTTGATGGAGAAGACTAGTGATGTATTACTTGAGTCAGCATCACTAACATTTGGTGCAAAGCCGGGGTAGTAGCAAGTGAATGAGATTGACTATTTTCTCAATTTCTAGATGTTGACTTTCCTATTCATGATACACCAAACACCTAGAAACTATTCTTCGTTCTGCCTAACTGACAAGTCAGCAAAAAGCTCAAAAATTGAATCATTGTAATCTGCAGCTGACTGAGTGGAGTACCTAGTAAATAATGATTAGCCAGGTAGTGCAAATAATTTTGGTAGTGAATAGGCAATAGATTTTTCTTATTGTTCTGAAGGGGAGCATGTAGAAAAAAAACTTTTGTATCTAGGGAAGGATCATCTTGAAACTTGGTACACATATGTAAATAAAAAATCGAAAACTTTCTGTGGTTTGTAAATATTTTGAAAGAAATGAAAGTAAACGTGAAATTCATAGAAAACGGCATAAAAGGGGTGGTACTAATTTCTTCATTCAATTAACGTGCTACAACATCGAGAGACATATGTCTCGATTCGTAAAGACCATATCTAGCGATCATCCGATCACTTTTTCAATTTTAAAGATATTTTCACTTCCCACCCCCCCCCTTCCCCCCAATTTGTTCATTATATATTCAAAACAAAAAAGAAATCAGACAAAGGGACATGATGATCGCTAGACCTTGTCTTTACAAATTGAATGGTGCATCTCTCAATGATGTAAATTCAAAATCATAGATCGATTTTTAAATTGGCGTTTTTAATTGTTCAGGGCAGCGAAATAATTAAAATTTATTGAAAAAGGTAGAAAATTCTGAAAAAATGACTTGATACTGTGACCCAAGCTTCCCCATAGCCAATTACTTGTATTGAAGGTACCATCAAGCGTCTTTAGACTTACTATTGTCCAGTTTAAAGCGCGAATAAGCTATAAATATGATTTTTAAAAATTATATAAAATTGTTCAATTTCAAACAACCTTGCACAAAAAGTATTAAGTATGTACATCCATGTTATTTGCTTTATCGAACGCGTCTTGTTCGCAGTATTACCACATTGCTATTAAAGTAAATAATATGATACTAAAAAATTCAAATATTGTTAGAAAAAGCCACTTTATAATAGTTCAAAACGACCTCACGCAAAAATTATTGCATGTACATCCATAATTGTTGCTTTATTGAACACGACTTGTTTGCAGCTTTAAATCGAACGCAAACATATTGCAATTAATACGAATAATGATCTATAAATACAGATTTAATTACCAATTATTGATAAACAAAGGTTACAAAATGTTCGTCTTATAAAAGTTCGAAACGACCTCACGCTAAAGCCATGACAGCTAGGGACATGGGGTCATTTTTATTCACATGAACGACAGCAAACGAAGCACTTTGAAGGAAAATCGTCATCAAGCTGAGATTGAAGTTTATGACAAATGAAAACCTGATAAACGGCCCAAATTTATTCACTAATGTATATTTAATGCAGGTTTCATTGAAGACCAGAGAGTATTTCTTATTGACAATTTTCTTATTGTTTTTCTCTATTCGGCGAATTAGGCTCTTGATAGGAAGTGAAATGTAATGTATATTTAAACATCTGGAGGCAAGGATTTTGGCTTGGAATGCTTGGTCTGAAGATGTCGAGTTAGTCTTCGTTTCTCGACACAAGAATATTCGCATTCCGGGCAGCTAAAAGGTTTCTTGGATGAATGTTGGGATAGTACATGCCTCTTCAGAACACTTTTGAAGAAACAAGAATATTCGCATTCAGAGCACCTAAGTGGTTTCTCAGAGGAATGCTTGTGTCGTAAATGCGATTTTAATTCGCCGTTTGTTACACAGGAATAATCACATTGCGAGCAACTAAGAGGTTTCTCAGTAGAATGCTTGTGTAGAAAATGAGATTTTAATTCGCCCTTAGTTACACAAGAATATTCACATTCCGAGCAACTAAGAGGTTTTTTAGATGTGTGTTTGTATAGTATGTGCGATCTTAATCCGCCTTTAGTGACACAAGAATATTCACATTCTGTGCACCTGAAAGGCTTCGCAGATGAATGCTTAGATAATACATGAGCTTTTAGATTATTCTTGGTGACGCAAGAATATTCACATTCTGAGCACCTAAGAGGTTTCTTAGATGAATGCTTGTGCAGTAAATGCGATTTTAATTCGCCTTTACTGATACAAGAATATTCACATTCCGAGCACCTAAGAGGTTTCTCAGATGAATGCTTGTGTCGTAAATGCGATTTTAATTCGCATTTAGTGACACAGGAATATTCACATTCTGAGCAACTAAGAGGTTTTTTTGATGGATGATGGGACAAGACATGCCGTTTCAGACTTTTCTTAGAAGCACAAAAATATTCACATTCCGTGCAGTTTAAAGGGGTCCCAGATTTATGCTTGGATAGTAAATGTCTTTTGAGATCGCCTTTAGTGACGCAAGAATACTCACATTCTGAGCAGCTGAGACGCTTCTCTGATGAATGATGGGACAAAACATGCCATTTCAGATTTCTTTCAGAGGCACAAACATATTCACACTCGGTGCAGCGTAGAGGTGTCCCAGTTGTATGCTTGGATAATACATGCCTTTTCAAATCGCCGTTAGTGACGAAAGAATACTTACAATCCGAGCACTTGAAAGGTTTCACAGAAGAATGCTTGTATAGTATATGTTTCTTCAGATCGCTTTTAGTGACGCAAGTATGTCCACATTCTGAGCAACTTAAAGGCATCTCCGATGTATGCCTGTTAAGAATATGGCATTTGAGGTATCGTTTACTGGAACAAGTTGTAACTACGGCATCAGCAAATCTACGCTGGGAATAAGTGAGCCTGTTGGTGTGTTCCTGGGAGCACGATGCTGCAGAAGCGTTGACGCTGCCAGCGTGGTTTACAGAATCGATCTCGGATGCAGGCTGCTCTTTTTTCTTGCCCTGAGGAGTTTGTAAGGGAATCAGCATCAGCACACGATCCATACCAACATTGATCTGTTTGGAATTATTCACTGTGCTTTATTCTGAAGAATTAGGTAGTGTACACCTGGGTAACAACTTCTATTTGTTTAGATTTCCCAGCTTTCTAGTTTCATGTCATCTAAAAACCAGAAAAACGATCTTGGGCAAATTTTGGTTGTTCCACTTATCTGGAATTATAATAAATGAAGGACAGGAAAAGAGCGATTTGGCGGGTTAGAGAGAAGAGCATGGAAAAACGGGAACAGTCCAACAGCACAGAAATACACAATCTACAGTTACAGTATTGCTCGAAAGATTGCTAGAATGTAAAATGAATCATTTGCATCAAAATAGGTATCTTCACAGTTCAACAAATATCACAGCAGGAAGCATTTTTTTTTGCTTAAAAGATCCCAGTCTGATATTCCATGAACAAACAAAGAGCAACTGACAGGTCAACTCGGCATTTATCCAGAGTTTGTTGAAACAACAATGGGATGCAATAGGAGCTCGATACAAAGTTTTGGCTTGCAAGTAATAAAATAGTTTATTTTGTGGCCAATGTGTTGAGCACAAGCAAGTTTAGTCTGTTGGGCAAAAAATAGAGAATCCAATTAAAAAATAATAGGTATATATACCGTACTCAAATAAACATCGGCGCAGGGGATGCGACAGAAAAACGTATTCATTGTACAGGCATAAAAGTCATCTCTTCAAGACCCAATGAAGGTTTCAAACAAACTGTTTTTTGGAGAATTTAGGCATAGACTCGGGTGGTAATGCCATAGCCATTTTCAACTGGACAACTTAATGTTCAGACTAGGAACTGTTTGGAGTCCTCACCGTAGGTGAAAAATAGGAATGTGCATGCAATTTCAGAAGGGATACTAAATTGAATAATTTCACATTTAATGAAGTTCCTTAGAAAAATTTCTACATTTTTTTGCATTTAATGTCTAGTATACCACAATCAAGCACAATAATAAATTTATGAATGATGCTGGAGACATGAAATCCCAAAAATTATTTTGAATTTACAAAAAAAAATTGATCTGAAAACATTGAAGTCTATTAAGACAAACTACCTACCAGCATATCAGGCACGGCAGGGGCGAGCGAGAGGAGTTGGCGGGCTGCTTGTGCATCAGAAGCCTTGACTTGCGCTTCCATCTTGCTAGCCACGTGGGACGATGGACTCAGCGCTTGCTGGGCCTATACTTTCAAAAAAGTTAAGAGATCTTAAATTAATCAGCCAATCATTGGCGGCCCTTCAAGCCAAATCCACCAATCACAGACAAGAAAATAGTGCGTAAGTACTTACGTTCACTTAGCAAGTTTTGAAAGTATGGCCCCTGGTCTCCAAATCCATGACTGGGAGGCTTACATGAACAAGCCTTCCACGACAATCAGGAATATTACTTACATATGCAAGGGAGGAAATCAAGGAATTGCTGCAAACTGATAATGTAGGAAGGAAGTCATTATGAAGCTAATCGGGATTTTTAAACAATTTTTTAAGTTGTTAAATTTAGATTGCTTTAAACCATGAAATATGATACAGAGGACAAGTCTACTAGTCCATTATTTTCAAATCCAGTTCAACCCTACATGGGTTCCACCTATAGAACATCAATTGAAGGGATATCTAATAAACAAAAAACTGCTCATGAAGCAGAGCCATGCTAGGACTGGCAGACATAATCACGGTGACAGAAATTCACCACGTAGTTCACTGGCAGAAAACACCATAAACCCATATTGAAATGCATGGCTAATCATGATCCATTACATGAATCATGTTTATGACACAGTAACTATTAGCTGGCAGGCCAGCAGAATCCGTTATGAACAAATACATTGTTGACTAAATGTAAACAAGAAATGATTCATATACAGAAGCTTCATTTGATCAATTGTTTGAGTGAAGTGGTTGCATGCAATAATGCAATACTTGTAAAATGATGAAAAATTATTCTTATTGATTTATAATTATTTACTCATTCCATATAATAATTCTCAACATTTCATGATGCTTACTAGGTAACAACAACAAATTTAGGAATAGAAATCAACAAATTAAATGCATCTTTGACAGGGTTGGCAATGATTAAATCACTTGATTTTTTATAAAAAACATGGCTTTTTTTATTATTTATATTTTTTTGATATTTTTATATATTTAAATTTATTGAGTGGCAGTCTTCAATTTATTTTGAAATATTGTTATTCATGGTTTAGTATAAATGTACTACCCTATGACAAATTGGAATATGAATCTGTTGCCTCTAGTCTTAGTGTGTATTATGTTCCAATGAATTGTATGTTTTTGGTACAGAGGCATCAAGTGTTGCAATATATTGTACATATACCATAGCTAGCAGCTTAGCTAATTCTTATAAGGCTATAAGTAGTCTTTAACTAACTATTTGACTATTAGTTATATACTAATCACATTATACAATTTACCTGTGTTAGCTAGCTTATATCAGAAGGGTTGGTTGAGATTGTATTGACCTTTTAAGCATTTAGAAAGATTTTTCACTTTAATATGAGTATTCTAATTAAAATATTTAATTTCAATCTTTAAATATGTGAATTTATAACTATAAACAAAACAATTACTATTACAAAACTACCTATAAAATAATTAAATGCAGTGAATGGAAATAAAATGTTTGAATTGTGTACAAGTTCATTTCAAACAGTGTTAGCTTTTCTCATAACATAAGTCTCGTTTCATGTCGTTTGGGGTTTGTTTGGTTGTTGTTCATATTATGTTTAGTAGGTATTGGCTAATTGGTCTGAATCAAATGGGAACAGTGCAGTCAGTCACTACTAGTTGGTGTGTTTAGAGGGTAGGGTCTGGTAGATTTATAGGACATAAAACTAGTATGGTAGATCTATTGATAGTGTTGTGCACTGTGCTATCAGCTACCTATCTGTTGTGTGACTTTTCAATGTTTAGAAGATCTGCATTCCTGAAGTGTTTTTGTATATTGAAGCCAGTTAAATGGTCAATATTTAGCTCGTTAACTTGCTCCATACAAACTTTATGAAGCTAATGAATAGATTTATCAATAACTGTTTACCCAAAAGCCCCTAAGTGGTAAACACCACTTTGGCCAATCTTGAAAGCAATAACTGCTCTTTTTAGCCATCCATATACAGTTATTGTTATTAGGCTAATTGCAACATAAAAAAATAACATTTCAAAAAGACAAAAAAGCTGAAAAATAAAATAAATAAAAATTATGAAAAAATCATCCATTCATGATTTTTGTGATTTAAAAAAAAATCAGAAGAATCACCAACCCTGATCTTTGATGAAGCTGGAAATAATTTACTGGAGACTTAATTGATAGCAAATGTTATGATAGCCAATAAAATGATGAAAGTGATAATTTTACCTCAATTTCAATGCCAATTGGTTCCTCCTTCACAGTTACGTCTTCTCCCTCATATTCAGGCTCCTCCTTCACAGATATATCCATTTCCTCATATGTAGGCTCCTGCTTCACAGTTATGTCTTCTGCCTCATATTTAGGCTCCTGCTTCACAGTTATTTGGTCGCCCTCATATTCATGCTGCTGCTTCTTCATTGTTAGGTCATTTTCCTCATATTCAGGCTCCTCCTTCACAGTTATGTCTTCTCCTTCATATTCAGGCTCCTCCTTCACAATTATGTCTTCTCCCTCATATTCAGGCTCCTCCTTCACAGATATATCCATTTCATCATATTTAGGCTCCTCCTTCACAGTTACGTGTTCTTCCTCATGCGCAGGCTTCTCCTTCACAGTTACGTCTCCTCCCTCATATTCAGGCTCCTGCTTCGCAGTTATGTCTTCTCCCTCATATTCAGGCTCCTTCTTTACAGTTATATCCTGTTCCTCATATTTAGGCTCTGCCTTGATGTTACCTCCCACTTTCTCTGGGAGTATAAATGAGCCACTGGCCTTGACAGCTGGGGAGATCAATATAAATAAAGATCATGATTATGCTCAACAATGGAAAATAACTCCATTACAGATGACAAACAATATACCACAGGAGTCAGGTGCTGCAGGTAATACTATATATAAGCACCTTGAATTTGACATAGTAATATACTACTAGTATAGGTACCTAGCTTGTGTAGTTACTTGGTGCATTCCTATATCTACGCAGCTTACCATCAGACTCGACTCTGCACACTACGGAAGGTGTTTGGATGAGGTTCATCTCAGCATGCCAGCCCCTCTTGACAGCAGCATCAGACAGTTTGTGTACCACAACACGGCACTCTTTCATCTTAATCTTCATGATAATTATTATATTTGTGCAGATCCAAGTTAAACTGTGACCTATTGATTATCAAAATTCAGAAAATATCAACAAAGTCAGAGCATTAACTGCAATAATTTTACTAGGCAATGACAACAATGTACAAACACTATCAGGGTATAGGTCACAATTCATTATTTCACATGAATATATGTAAGCTCTTCTCACTGGAAATCCATCCCTTTGTACCATCATACAGAGCATGCAGTCTATTTACCATGTGTACCCACCCATGTTAAATTTAACTTGCTGACAATCATCTATTTCAGACATAGATCAGCATTAGTTTTATTTTTTCCTATCCTTAACCAACTTGCAACACAAATTTTGCTTCAAAAACCTACTAGAAAAGAATTGAAGCATGACCTTATTGTAAAATCACAAACATAACATGAACTAAATGACATAAGAAGACAAAAAAATTAAGATTTTATCAGCTGGAGCACCTCTCACCAGGCAGAAACTCATCCAAAATATTACAGAGTTTCTTGAGATTAAATTATACAATTACTTTGAATGAAGATTTTTTTACCTTTATAGATGTTAATTCAATATGAACATTAAGAAGCTTTCCTGTAAAAAAATTTGATTTTAACCTTTTTGAAGGCAAGCATAGGAAAATGAAAGAATTTGAATTTCATGAGTCACTATGATGATGAATGGGCAATAATTATAAGATAAATTCATTTGTATGAATTTTTCAAAATTTTGCATGCTATCGAGAAAATAGCAGATGAAAATTCCATAAAAAGCGGTAACTAGTACCTACTCTAAAAAATGTGAAATTTCATTTTATTTTATCAAATGCATAGGGAAACTATCAAGTTGCAATTTGATTTAATTTTATCTAGCTCTCCTTTTAATTATCTAGGTACATTAATATTACTTCTTCCGGCTTTTTAAAAAATGTGGAAAGAGCATCTATTTCACTGTATAAGTCAAAACTTTGATTTGAATGCTCATATTCTGATTCCTGGGTATGGCAGGTGAGGCCATTTATGGATGGATGGGCAGATTGCAAACTTTTGGGGGGCATGATAACATAACCTCAAACATAAACCAGGGCTTTTTTGGAAGAAGATTTCAAGTGACTATAAATGGTAACTTGCCCATAAAAAAGGTTAACAATACACATTTTACAAATTTTTTCCAAAGTGATTTTCTTCTTGAGGCAACTTTTGTCAGGAATTTTAATCAGAACCCTCCATCAAAGACATATTTTTCCAATAGATAGCTTTAATCAAATTGAAGTAAAAAATGTTGTAACTTTTATTTACAGGTTAGTGATACATAACACCCATATTTGAATTGGATAATGACTTGACTAGAAACTTTTACTTATTATAAATGAGAATAAACATTGATTAAAATTGCATTATTGTATGCATTGAAATGATGCACTTGAGTAAAATGCTAGAAAATGTCCTGGATCAAATAAAGTTATTTTGGGCTCATCAAAACTTGAGTTAGGGATTAGCAGCATGCCTTTCTTCTTCAGCGTGTTGGGAGATTGTTTCACTAATTTCATGAATTAAGAACATTATTTTACAAATTGACTACAATATTTGTTAATGGCAAAGTGCTTCAGACTACCGGACCATAATTTTAGTATAAAAATGACACAAGCATGGAATTATCTAGCAGAAAAGAGAATAGATATAGTGAAGCCTGGAAAATGTGGTACTACATATCACAAACAACACATGCAAACCAGCCAAAGAGAAATTAATATAAAATAGAGAAAATCTAAATAGAAATAGAGCATAAATACATGCAATGATTAAAAACATTCAATTGAAAATAGAATTAGATAAAGCTTTCTCCATTTAATACATCTCACATATGAAAATGCAAGTATGATGTGAATAATACTGGCAATAAGGCAGAATTATGTTTTAATCTATAAATCATACATTGAAAAAATATTGCCTTCCTCTCAAAAAAGATCCAGCTGATGTTTTGAGGATGTTGTACGTAGTTTTAGTGATTTGTACCATATGGTATGCATGAAATTTATTAATCTTTATTTCTTACTCTCTTTTAATTATTGAATTGTGCTAATTAGTCAAGTAACTTATGGACTTGCATAAAAATTAATTCCTAGATATTTGGGGATGTTGCAATCAGCTACTAGATGCAACTTGCAGCAAGCTACCAGATGCAACTTTCAACCAGGTGCAACCAGCTACCAGATGCAGCCTGTGACATGATACAACCAACTAGCAGATACAACCTATGACCAGGTGCAACCAGCCACCAGGCACAACCAGCCACCAGACACAACCAGCCATCAGGCACAACCAACCACCAGGCACAACCAGCCACCAGGCACAACCAGCCACCAGGCACAACCAGCCACCAGGCACAACCAGCCACCTGGCATAACCAGCCACCAGGCAGTTACTTCTCATACTGTTTTCACTAGTATTTTCTTACTTATCTCAATGAGAAATCTTATCTATGGTTCCTCAAAGAAATAAAATAGGTCAGTTATTTTGTTTCTTGTTCTGAATTGATTTGCTGATAAATATTTCATTACCGTAAAATGGGGTTACTTTGACCGGCGGGGTAACTATGACCACTTTTCATTTTTTTAACAAAAAACCCAAAACTCAAAAACGATTTGACATAGAAAAATTTTGTCAATGGCCATCAAAGGCCTAATACTGAGGCTACGTAACACAATAGAAAGATTTAAAAAGTTTGCATATCTAATAGTTTAAAAAATTAAAAATGTGACTCATGAAAAAGAGCTATTATTTAAAGCCTGTCAGAGTACCCCCTCCAATTTTTTTTATTATTTTTTTTTTGGTAAAATAACTCCAGGTTTTGATGCATTGCAGTAGAACTCTTCTAGTTACATATGCAAAAGACAAATTTTAGGAAAGTGTCATAGTTTGCAAATGGGGGGTGCTGCCCCCCAATTATTTTAATGTTACAAAAGAATTTAAGCTCGCATTAGTTTATTAAAATGTTTCTAGAAAGGTTGCTAGAGCATGCTCAGTTCAGAAGCTCTATACACTTAATTTCAAGCCAACATTTTTCCAGGTTAATTCTTCGTTTATTTTTCGGATATTATCACGACGTGCAGAAATGACCACGAAATTCTAACTTTATTTTCATCCATTTTAGTTTTTTCATAGAGAAAAGTCCAATTTGTTTTATACAAAATTTTTTCCCTAAGACAACAAAGAAAACTCCACAATTATTGAAAATGTACCGAATTGCATATCGGGGAAAACTTTGAGTGGAATAAAATTTTTAAATTTAGTTGCGAAAATTTACCCTCAAAGAAAAAATACATTTCTGGTACTCCTCGTGTAGGCTTTATGAATAACAAACTGCGTTTGAGTCCAGCCTACGGAATTGCCTTCGTTACACACCTGACAGGGCAAGAGTTTTCAAACCTAACGAAATGACCTTATCTGTAAACACCAATTTTGACACAACGCTCATTGCTGTGAAAAGCAGTGTGTGGGACAATTGATTTCAGTTCTCCGCAAACAAAATGAATGGACCAAGAGAAACAAAAAAGGACCAAGACTGCTGTCAAGAGAATTTAAGAGTTGCATGTCCAATTGAAAAGCTTCAAGAAATTCTTCACAAGATATCATTCCCTTGTGATGGCGCCTATTTGAGCAATAAATGCCCACAGTTATGACATGATCAGGAAATTTCAGAGGATACTAGGATAGAATAGTATGTATATTTATTTGTGTTTTTGAAAAGAAGAATACCATCTTTGTTAACAGAGAGGCTGACATGTTGCACACAGCCTTCACAATACTTTCATTCAAGAATTGATGTCACTTGTTTGCTTAAATCGCAAATTAACTAAGAATTTAAAAGCGAAGAATAGTCCACAAAAATTCATATCTTTATAGAAAACGTTTCGGAGTCCAGCTCCATCATCAGTTCGTAGAACCTAGAATCACAAATTAATACATTGAGAGCACAGAACGAAATTAAAAACCTAAATTTACAAATAATAGACGGATCACTACTAAAAACTTTAATAGATATTTTTTTGTGCTCCGTGGATTCAACATTATTAATAACCTTGTGACGTCATCATTAGGTAATATTTTTCCCTGTGCGGCCCACTTGCATATTATATATTCTAAATCATTCATATCACAGGGATCAACATTATGAATAGTTTTGCTCGAACTACTTAAATGTTCACATAAATGACCAGATATACTTGTGCTCACATCTTCAGGCTGTGCCTTACTTGCGGAACTTGATGGAGAAGACTAGTGATGTATTACTTGAGCCAGCATCTCCAACATTTGGTGAAGAAGCCGGGGTAGTAGCAAGTGAATGAGATTGACTATTTTCTCAATTTCTAGATGTTGACTTTCCTATTCATGATACACCAAACACCTAGAAACTATTCTTGTTCAAAATGCCGTCATTTTGAACATTTTTGCCGACTTTTGAGCAAGTCAGCAAAAAGATTTCTTGATGACATCTCAATAATTGAATTATTGTGATCTGCAGCTGACTAAGTAGAGTACAATCAAGCAAATAATGATTAGCCTGGTAGTGCAAATAATTTTGGCTGTGGAGTGAATAGGCAATAGATTTTTCTTATTGTTCTGAAGGGGAGCTTTTTTAACTTTTTATTTACGGACGGATCATCTTGAAACTTGGTACACACATATGTAAATCAAAAATCGAAAACTTTTTGTGGTTCGTAAATATTTTGAAAGATATGAGAGTAAACGTGAAATTCATAGAAAACGGCATAAAAGGGGTGGTACTAAATTCCTCATTCAATTAACGTGCTACAACATCGAGAGACATAATACGAATCGTAAAGACCATATCTAGCGATCATCCGATCACTTTTTCAGTTTCAAGATATTTTCACTTCCCACCCCCCCCCTTCCCCTCAATTTCATCAATATATATTCAGAACAAAAAAGAAATCAGAAAAAGAGACAGGATGATCGCTAGATCTTGTCATTACAAATTGAATGGTGTATCTCTCAATGATGTAAATTCAAAATCATAGATCGATTTTCAAATTGGCGTTTTTAATTGTTCAGGGCAGCGACATAATTAAAATTTATTGAAAAAGGTAGAAAATCCTGAAAAAAATGACTTGATACTGTGACCCAAGCTTCCCCATTGCCAATTACTTGTATTGAAGGTACCATCAGGCGTCTTTAGACTTACTATTGTCCAGTTTAACGCGCGAATAAGCTATAAATATGAATTTTAAAAATTATATAAAATTGTTCAATTTCAAAACCTTACACAAAAAGTATTTCATGTACATCCAAGTTATTTGCTTTATCGAACGTGTCTTGTTCGCAGTATTACCACATTGCTATTAAAGTAAATAATATGATACCAAAAAATTCAAATATTGTTAGAAAATGCCACTTTATAATAGTTCAAAACGACCTCACGCAAAAATTATTGTATCTACATCCATAATTGTTGCTTTATTGAACACGACTTGTTTGCAACTTTAAATCGAACGCAAACATATTGCAATTAATGCGAATAATGATCTATAAATACAGATTTAATTAATAATTCTTGAAAAACAATGGTTATAAAATGTTCGTTTTATTAAAGTTCAAAACGATCTCACGCTAAAGCCATGACAGCTTGAGACATGGGGTCTTTTTTTATTCACAAGAANTGTATGCTTGGATAATACATGCCTTTTCAGATCGCTGTTAGTGACGAATGAATACTTACAATCCGAGCACTTGAAAGGTTTCACAAATGAATGCTTGTATAGTATATGTTTCTTCAGATCGCTTTTAGTGACGCAAGTATGTCCACATTCTGAGCAACTTAAAGGCTTCTCCGATGTATGCCTGTTAAGAATATGGCATTTGAGGTATCGTTTACTGGAACATATATATTCACATTTAGAGCATCTGAAGTTTCCTTCTTTTGAATGTTCAGAACGAATGTGTCGCTGGAGTTGCTGTTCAGAACTGCAACGAAATTTACAGTCCAAGCAAGAGTGTGTATTAGAGGTCGACTGCTCAATAGGTAGAGGTTGTTGCAGTTGGGTTGTAACTACGGCATCAGCAAATCTACCCTGGTAATACGTGAGCCTGTTGGTGTGTTCCTGGGAGCACGATGCTGCAGAAGCGCTGACGCTGCCAGCATGGTTTACAGAATCCATCTCGGATGCAGGATGCTTTCTTTTCTTGCCCTGAGGAGTTTGTAACGGAATCAGCATCAGTACACGATCCATACCTATATTGATCTATTTGTACCTATTCACTGTGCTTTATTCTAAAGAATTAGGTAGTGTACATCTAGGTAACAACTTCTATTTGTCTAGATTTCCCACCTTTCTAGTTTCATGTCATCTAAAAACCAGAAAACAGATCTTGGGTAAATTTTGGTTCTTCCACTTATCGGGAACTATAATAAATTAAGGACAGGAAAGGAGCGATTTGGCGGGTTAGAGAGAAGAGCATGGAAAACGGGAAGAGTCCCGCAACACAGAAATGCACAATCTGCAGTTACAGTATTACTCGAGATTGCTAGAATGTAAAATGAATCATTTGCATCAAAATAGGTATCTTCACAGTTCAACAAACATCACAGCAGGAAGCATTTTTTTGCTTAAAAGATCCCAGACTGATATTCCAGTAGTTTGAATTGCGTACTAGAGCAACTGACAGGTCAACTCGAAGTGCAACTGACAGGTCAACTCGAAGAGAAACTGACAGGTCAACTTGACATTTATCCAGAGTTTGTTGAAACAACAATGGGATGCAATAGGAGCTCGATACAAAGTTTTGGCTTGCAAGTAATAAAATAGTCTATTTTGTGGCTAATGTGTTCAGCAAAAGCAAGTTTAGTCTGTTGGGCAAAAAATAGATAATCCAATTCAAAAATAATACTAAAATAAACATCGGCGCGGGGCATGCGACAGAAAAGCGTATTCATTGTACAGGCATAAAAGTTATCTCTTCAAGCCCCAATGAAGGTTTCAAACAAACTATTTTTGGAGAATTTAGTCATAGACTCAGGTGGTAATGTTGTAGCCATTTTCAACTGAACAACTTAATGTTCATACTAGGAAATGTTTCGAGTCCTCACCGTAGGAGAAAAATAGGAATGTGCATGCAATTTCAGAAGGGATACTAAATTGAATAATTTCACATTTAATGCTGTTCCTTAGAAAAATTTCTACATTTTTTTGCATTTAATGTCTAGTATACCACAATCAAGCACAATAATAAATTTATGAATGATGCTGNACCTGTCTCTTATACACATCTAGATGTGTATAAGAGACAGGTGCTATCAGCTACCTATCTGTTGTGTGACTCTTCAATGTTTAGAAGATCTGCATTCCTGAAGTGTTTTTGTATATTGAAGCCAGTTAAATGGTCAATGTTTAGCTCGTTAACTTGCTCCATACAAACTTTATGAAGCTAATGAATAGATTTATCAATAACTGTTTACCCAAAAGTTCCTAAGTGGTAAACACCACCTTGGCCAATCTTGAAGGCAATAACTGCCCTTTTTAGCCATCCATATACAGTTATTGTTATTAGGCTAATTGCAACATAAAAAAACATTTCAAAAAGACAATAAAAAATAAAATAAAAAAAAAATCATGAAAAAATCATAAATTTTTAATTTATGCGATTTAAAAAAAAATAAAATGAATCACCAACCCTGATCTTTGATGAAGCTGGAAATAATTTACTGGAGACTTAATTGATAGCAGATGTTATGATAGCCAATAAAATGATGAAAGTGATAATTTTACCTCAATATCGATGCCAATTGGTTCCTCCTTCACAGTTATGTCTTCTCCCTCATATTCAGGCTCCTCCTTCACAGATATATCCATTTCCTCATATTCAGGCTCCTCCTTCACCATTATGTCTTCTCCCTTATATTCAGGCTCCTTCTTCACAGATATATCCATTTCCTCATATTCAGGCTCCTGCTTCACAGTTATGTCTTCTCTATCATATTCCGGCTCCTCCTTCACAGTTATGTCTTCTCCCTCATATTCAGGCTCCTCCTTCACAGTTATTTCTTCTCCCTCATATTCAGGCTCCTTCTTTACAGTTATTTCTTCTCCCTCATATTCAGGCTCCTTCTTTACAGTTATATCCTTTTCTTCATATTCATGCTCTGCCTTGATGTTACCTCCCACTTTCTCTGGGAGTATAAATGAGCCACTGGCCTTGACAGCTGGAGAGATCAATATAAATAAAGATCATGATTATGCTCAACAATGGAAAATAACTCTATTACAGATGACAAAGAATATACCACAGGATCAAGACACTGCAGGTAATACTATATATAAGCAACTTGAATTTCACATAGTAAACTACTAGTACGTATACCTAGCTTGTGTAGGCACATGGCACATTCCTATCTACGCAGCTTACCATCAGACTCAACTCGGCACACCACAGGTGTTTGGATGAGGTTCAGCTCAGCATGCCAGCCCCTCTTGACAGCAGCATCAGACAGTTTGTGCATCACCACACGGCATTCTTTCATCTTAATCTTCATGATAATTATTATATTTGTGCTGATCCAAGTTGAACTGAGACTTATTGATTATCAAAAATTAAAAAATAGCATCAAAGTCAAAACATTAACTGCATAAAATTTATTAGGCAATGACAACAATGTACAAACGTTATGTGGGTATAGGTCACAATTCATTATTTCACATATATACGTAAATGTAAGCTCTTCTCATTGGAAATCCATCCCTTTGTACCATTATACAGAGCATGCAGTCTATTTACCATGTGTACCCACCCATGTTAAATTTAACTTGCTGAAAATTATCTATTTTAGACCTAGATCAGCATTAGTTGACACTAAATGACAGATAAGAAGACAAAAATTTAAGATTTTATTAGCTGGAGCACCTCTCACCAGGCAAAAACTTATCCAAAATATTACAGTTTCTTGAGATTAAATTATACAATTACTTGGAATGAAGATTTTCTACCTTTAAAGATGTTAATTTAATATGAACATATGAAGCAATCCTGTAAAAAAATGTGATTTTAACCTTTTTGAATGCAAGCATAGAAAATTGAAAGAATTTGAATTTCATTAGTCACTATAATGATGAATGGGCAATTATAAGATAATTTTATTTGTATGAATTTTTCAAAATTTTGCATGATATTGGAGAAAATAGCAGATTAAAATTCCATAAAAAGCGGTAACTAGTACCTACTCTAAAAAATGTGAAATTTCTTCATTTTATTTTATCAAATGCAAAGGGAAACTATCAAGTTGCAATTTGACCTAATTTTATCTAGCTCTCCTTTTAATTATCTAGGCACATTAATATTACTTCTTCCGACTTTTTAAAAAATGTATAAAGAGCATCTATTTCACTGTCCCAAGTCAAAATTTTGATTTAAATGCTGGCAGAAGGTGAGGCCATGTATGAATGGATGGGCAGATTGCAGATTGTTGGAGGCATGATAACATAGCCTCAAACATTAGAAATTTAAAAGCAAAGAAAACTCCACAAAAATTCAGCATTTCTCTATTGAATGCTGAATAATTGAATAGAGAAATGCTGCATTTTTGTGGAGCTTTCTTTGCTTTTAAATTTCTAGTGAATCTGCTATTCAAGCAATCTGGTGACAATATTGCTAGCCTCAAACATAAACCAGGGACAAGCTGGGCTTATTTTGGAAGAAGATTTCAAGTGACCATAAATGGTAACTTGCCCATAAAAGGGGGTTAACAATACACATTTTGATTTTTTTTCAATTTTTTTCCAAAGTTATTTTCTTCTTGATGCAACCTTTGTCAAGAATTTTAATCAGAACCCTCCATCAAAGACATATTTTTCCAATAGATAGCTTTAATCAAATTGAAGTAAAAAATGTTGTAACTTTTATTCACAGGTTAGTGATACACAACACCCATATTTCCATATTCGAATTCGATAATGACTTGACTAGAAACATTCTTTTATAAATGAGAACAAACATTGATTAAAATTGCATTATAGTATACATTGAAATGATGCACTTGACTAAAATGCTAGAAAATGTCCTGGATAAAATGAAGTCATTTTGGGCTCATCAAAACTTGAGTTAGGGATTAGCAGCATGCCTCTCTCCTTCAGGGGACCGTCTAACCTAAATTGGAGATAGCCTATAACTCCTAAAGTTATTATCCGATCATCATGAAACTTCACATTCAAACGTAAAATGTAAAAATAAAAACATTTTACTTCTATGAATTTTTCGAAAAAATTGATAGAAAACGTGATATTCATAGAAAACGGAAAAATAACGGTTACTATAGAAAATCTATCTCCTCCCACAAATATCGTCCTACAACATCNTTTCCTTTATTGATATGATATTACAATATTCATTAATTACCGCATTATTAATGTGATATTACTGTATCCATGGACATGCCATTGAGCATTGACAATGACCTTGTCCACTGCAAGCTTCATATCAGAAGAATCAAAATTCTTTGTTGTTAATCAATCTTTTTTGTTAACTGGAGCCTTTGCTAACTGAGTTTCTACTGTAAATGCATTTTAAAGGGTGTCCCTAATTACCCCGGGGGGTGTCCCTTTTTACCCTGTTATGCAGAAATGGCTGCCATTTTTTTTAGTTTTAGATAGGCAAATTCTATCAATCAAGTTTTCAAGCCATTTTATGTAAGTAAAATTTTTTGATACCGTGAATGTTTTTTTTTTTGCTCCAGACCTTAGCAGAGGTACTTTTCCAAAATTGCACTTTTCACACTTTTTTTCAACGATTTTTTAGAGATAGTAAATGTTTGATTTCTCGACTAGCTTTATACACAATAGATAGTAAAAATTTTGAAGTTTATGCCACTATTTTTAGTTTTGCAATATTTTGATTAGTTAAGCTGCTACAACATTTCTACAAAATGTGGGATGCGCGTCCCTATTTACCCCGCCCGTCCTTTTTTATCCCGTTTGATGGTACCTTAGTAGAGGTACTCTTCCAAAATCTCACTTTTCACAATTTTTTTCAGGGATTTTTTAGAGGTAGTCCTGGTAGTAAAGGTATGATTTCTTAACTAGCTCTACGCAACATAGATAGGAAAAAATTGAAATTTATGCCACTATTTTTAGTTTTGCAATATTTCAATTAGTTCAGTTGCTACAAGTCTACATGTACTACAACAGATCTACAAAATGACAGAGGACTGTCCCGGATTACCCTGTTTGATCACTTTGATGTTTATATACCGTCAACCGGGGCTACTCGGGACAGGCGGGGTAACTCGCGACAGTCCTCCGATTTGGCGTAAAACTGTTTTAGTAGCAAAACTAATTGGAATATTGCAAAACTAAATATAGTGGTGCAAACGTCAAAATTTTTCCTATCTATGTAGTTTAAAGGAAGTTCAAAAATACTACATTTACTAGCTTTGAAAAATGCCTTTAAAAAATGGTGAAAAACAATATTTTGAAAAGTTACTTCTGCTAAGGTCTGTAGTAAAAAAATATTTGCCGCATTAACACATTTCACTTAGAAAAAAAGTGGCAGACAAGTTTCAGCATGAAAACTTTCTTTGCCAAATTTACATAGGTACCTCAATAAAGAAAATGGTGGCCATTTCGGCAAGGCGGGGCTACTCGGGACACCCCCCCTGGGGCTATTCGGGACACCCCCAAAAATGCATTTACAGTAGAACCTCAGTTAGCAAAGGCTCCAGTTAAGAAAAAAATTGATTAAAAACAAAAAATATTGATTACATTTACCTCGCTCAGCAAAAAAATTTCACTTATCAAAAAATTAGTGCATCATCAGTCATCACAAAATTGTGCATAGAATGTCATACATAGAATTGTGCACCAGGCATCATAGAATGAAAAGTAATTCAGGGTTGGCGATTTTTTTTTAAAATCAAAAAATCAAAAATCAATGATTTTTTTTATTTTTTCGTGATTTTTTTATTTATTTGATTTTTTTATTTTTTCATCTTTTTTGTCTTTGTTGAGGTGTTATTTTTTATGTTGCAATTAGCCTACAAACAATAACAGTATATAGTATAGTATAGTATAGTATCTTCGGCATTAAATAAATAGGCCTGGATAGGCCTGTCGCCGATTCTTGTACTTTTCTTGTCTAGACTGGCCTTTTGATCAGATGGTGGTCTTTTCTTATGGTGGTATTCTTTTCTTTCGATGGTGTTCTTTTGTTTTGATGGTGTTCTTTTCTTATGGTGGTGTTCTTTTCTTTCGATGGTGCTCTTTTGTTTTGATGGTGTTCTTTTCTTATGGTGGTGTTCTTTTATTTTGATGGTGCTCTTTTCTTTCGATGGTGTTCTTTTGTTTTGATGGTGTTCTTTTCTTATGGTGGTGTTCTTTTCTTATGGTGGTGTTCTTTTCTTATGGTGGTGTTCTTTTCTTTCGATGGTGCTCTTTTGTTTTGATGGTGTTCTTTTTTTTACTGTGGTCTTTTATTTTGATGGTGTTCTTTTCTTTCGATGGTGTTCTTTTCTTTTGATGATTTTATTTTGATAGTATTCTTTTCTTTCGATGGTGTTCTTTTGTTTTGATGGTAATATTTTCTTTTGATGGTGTTCTTTTCTTTCGATGGTGTCCTTTTCTTTTGATGAAATTATTTTCTTATGGTGGTGTTCTTTTTAAAAAAAATCATGATTTTTTTATAAAAAAATCAAGTGATTTAATCACATGATTTAATCATTTTGATTTAATCATTGCCAACCCTGAAGTAATTTACCTAAACTATGATTCATTTCTCCAAAACGTATGATGGTTGTCACTAAAACATTCCTTTCTGTTTCAGGTATGTTTTTTCACAATCTTTTTTCATAGTAAATTCACTTAACCGGGTTAACCCAATTAAAATGGTGTGAAATTACAAGCCATCCTGTAAGCTTACAGATACCTACAGAAAAAATGCTATTAGGCTGCTGATATGAAGCTTGCAGTGGACAAGGTTGTTGTAAATGCTCAATGGCATTTTCATGGATACGACGGTAATATCGCATCAATAATATGGTAATTAATGTATATGGTTATATCATTTCAATAAAGGAAAAACAAAAATCATAGAAAATGTCATTTATTTTACCTCTACATCATTTACAATGAAAGAGGACTTCAGAGAAGGTACTGTTATAGATGAGTACATTCTGCATGCTTCAAATGTTTTAAAATGAAGTTTTATTCCAAGTGTCCCGAGTAGCCCCATCAAACGGGGATACTCGGGACACTTTTTTTGCTTCTGGCACCTTATGATTATGAATAGCATATGGAATTTTTTGGAGATGCCATGTGATAGCCCTTGCAAACTGCAAAGAGCTTTGAAATGAGCCTAAACTTGTTTATGAAATGTTTCATGGTAAGAAGTTATGAATGAAAAATGTTCAAAATCATCCCGAGTAGCCCCGGTTGACGGTTCACGGTATAAATGAAAAATGATCATTTGCAGGCGACAAAATTCAGAAATGAGTTACCTGGTAAAATTAAAGTGCCTTAAAAGTGGATATATACATTCATGATTGCTCTGACAAAAGGAATATTTCAAACTTTCAAGGCTTAAGGGGGATGATAGACAAGCACATACTGTTACTGTTACAT